ATATATATTGTGATGTCCTTGGATTTGTGCAATAGGAATCGGATCGTGATGAGATGACGAAAATGAGATCGATTCACCTTTAAACACATATCCTAAATAATCCCGGTCATAGGTTACTCGAGAGGGACATCGTGATAACCGAACAGACTGGTGTGTTGTATACCCGTCCATATGATGGATGCAGCTGGTCTCATAGCTACTCGTGTAGGGACACTAGGGATACAGTACAGGTGCTCATTGGAGAATGAGTCCACCGATTGATCCGCTTACGGAATGTTGGATGGTTGATGATGCCTTATTGTCAGATAGCGATTTCGTAGTCCTAGTGGTATATATGGTCCTTAGACTTGAGACACTAAGGATGTCTTGTATGAGTGCTCCACTCTTTGATACAAGACTTATAGGTTTGACTGTCTCAGATCTAGTACAGTTGGTCATTGGGAGTGGTAGTCGACCTTACGAGGGCTATTGAGTGTCGATAGAGGATCATCCACTCTCGGCGTCATGAGAGGAATATCCTATGTGTTCTTGCTCAAACAAATCCCTGACCAGGGTCATTCGGGTGGAGAGAAAAAGAGTTCTCTAGGAGAATCCGATTATAGTGAGACTCGAGTAGAAACCGTATGGGTCTGACAGCACCATGCTCGATATACGGTCTCTGTGATATTAGATGGATGAGGGATTATAGGTACATGGTAACTGAGAACAGACAGGTCCAATGGATTGGATTCCCCTGTATTGTTTGGGGACTACGGCGTAGTGGCCTAGTACGTCCGTAGTCGATGAGTCGAGTGAATTATTACAAAGATAATAATTCACTAAGTTATAAGGAGTTCTGACAGGTATGACTCACGGCCAGCTTGATATTGGGCCTAGAGGGTCACACACATATGGTAGGCATTGCGATGAATAGAGGTTCGGATATGAGATATCCGATGGAGCCCTTATCTCATTGGATATCCAATAAGCCCCTGAATTATTGGATCCCATGGACGAGATCCAATAAGAGCCCATGAGAGATTATTCGATAGAGATCCACTAATCTAAAAGACTTGGGTTATTGGATACAGATCCAATACCCACTAGGGGAGGATCCATTAGGGTTTGACAGGGGACCTCTATAAATAGGAGGGATTCAGAGCCTCATAGGCTAGAGCCTTTGTTTGCCTCTCCTATTCTCCTTCCCCTCTCCACCTCGAAGCAGGCTTTGAGTTTTAAGGAGCATCGTCGCAGTCCTGCTGTGTGGATCACCGCTAGAGAGAAGGACGCTTGACCTCCTTCACCCTCTCCTAAAGATCTGTAAGGAAATAGGGATATACGATCTCCCTAGGTAACACAATCTACTATATATGCAGTTTTTCAGTTTCGCGGATTTTATACACCAATCTTCGCACGACGACGAACATCTCTTTGGGAAATCGGGGATTTTGTTTTCTTGTTTTTCCGCTGCGCATCTGATGTCGCCCCCAAGATTTCCCTACAGTCCCCAAGTTCAAACCGGAGCCAAGCTTAATCACTCGGCCCCCAGGTTCGATTCCTGCCTGGGTCGCTCCAGATCGCCCTCGGTTGGCGACCCGCCGACACCAAAACCGGAACTGAGCTTACTCACTCGGTCCCCAGATTCAAATCCGAAGCCGAGCTTACTCGCTTGGTCCCTAGGTTCAATTTGGAGCCGAGCTTACTCGCTCGGTCCCCGGATTCAATCCGGAGCCAAGCTTACTCGCTCGGTCCCCAAGTTCAAACCAGAGTCGAGCTTAATCACTCGACCCCCAGGTTCGATTCCTGCCCAGGTCGCTCCAGATTGCCCCCGATTGGCGACCCACCGGCACCAAAACTAGAACCGCGCATGCTCACTCGGTCCCCAGATTCAAATCCGGAGCCAAGCTTACTCACTCGGTCCCCATATTCAAATCCGGAGCCAAGCTTACTCACTCGGTCCCCAGATTCAATCCGAAGCCGAGCTCACTCGCTCGGTCCCCAAGTTCAAACCAGAGCCAAGCTTAATCACTCGGCCCCCAGGTTCGATTCCTGCTTGGGTCGCTCTAGATCGCCCCCGACTTGCGACCCGTCGGCACTAGAACCAGAACCAGATTCGGTCACTCGGCCCATAGGCCCGATCCATCGCCCGAGCTACACCTCGCAACCAATCTTATGCCCGAGTCACATCTCGGTCGATCCAACGCCCAAATCACTAGCCTAACCCATTATCCAAGTCGCTTCACGTCGACTCCGATTCGCCCCGCACGTCGACTCCGATTCGCCCCGCCCCGCCCCCCCCAACAAGTCTTTAAATCGAGCCGCCTCGATTCGCTGGCCGACTTGCAAACTCGGTAGCCGCAGCTCTGAGCCAGGACACTATGCGACACGACTGTCCCGAGGGCTCGGGGCGGTACCGTTTGACACCGCTCAAGCATCCCCCAAGACGTTAGCTTGTCAGAAAAGTTGTCTCATCCCGCAAGGGTCAACGGCCACACCGAACCTAGGCGCAACCAATCCTCATACAATAGTATATAAACCCTTTGCCGACGCCCAACCAGGGGGAGAGAAAAAAACTCAATATCAAATACTCCACTGACTTACTTGTCGGAGGGGCCAAAGTCGGGAAGCACCCGACGAAGGCCATTTTGCAGGAAGGCGGACACCCCGAGCGGCGAATGCCTCAATCCGGGAATTGCCATCCAGTACACAAGGACGCGTTGCCATTCATCCCAAAGTCGGAGAGACACATTCCACCACAAACAGTGCCCGAGTCGGCAAACCGAGAAACTCGGATCAACATCCTCTCACAAGAGCCCAGTCGACCCCGTCAGCCCGACTCTTGTCCGAGTTACTCCGAAACGGCCACACCCGACCGACGAACGTCTCGACCGAGGAGGCTCCTTCCATCGCACAAAAGAGAGCAGTGAGCCGGCCCGGATCCTGATCAATGTCAGCCAACATTCCTTCCCGAGGGCGCAGCCACCTCATCATCATACTCACCCCGTAAGAAGCTTCCGACATCGACCCGCGAACTTAACCGTGCTGACTCATCAATCGCGGTACTTTTGTTCACTAACAAGTGGCATATACGAAAATTTTATATTATAATATATAATATTATATATATATATATATATATATATATATATATTATAAAAAAAGAGATATATAGTGTGATAAAATTACCGAACCACCCCCTTTTGCCCTTTCAAAAAGAAAAGTAAGGAGTTGACGGGGGAGCGATGGGGAAAAGAGGAATATGTCCGACGCACGGGAGACGGACGCCTGTCCGTCTTTATTCCTCGGTTCTCAGCTTCGCACATGGATTGGCTTCCAGAGAGCGTGAGTGGTGGAGGGTGGCGGTCGCAGCAGTGCAACTCCATCAGGAGTGGCGTTTCCCCTCCGACGGGCACAACTAACTCCTGCAGCCCATCTTGTTTGCTAGTTTTCTTTAATCTTTCTTTTGTGGATTCTTCTTCCGTCGCTGGGACAAAAGATATTAGGAGTAGGAAAGGCGAACGGCCATGCTTTCTTGTCCCCAGGACGAGACAGAACTGGTTCGAAGAGCTACGCATGCATTAATTAAAAGAGAGGAGAGGCGAAGGGTGGTGGTGGATGTCTGAGTCACTCACTTGCCCCACCTCAAAACATGAAAGAAGAACAGAAAAAGAAAATTCATATCTCTCTCTTTGCCATGTTCTTCGGCCGAGGTTTCTCTCCTCGTGTGTTGAGAAATAAGGTCGACGACGACTCTATCAATCTGATAGGATAACTGATCGGTTAGTCTTATTAAATTTAAAATTAAAATATTTAAATCCAAATTAATAAGAATGTATTCATCATATCCTTGCAAAAATTATCCATTTCTATGGGGGCATCGAAACCTGGACACATGAAAATTCACCTAACGGGCGATGACAAAAAATCTTATCTGATGGTGATGCCAAAATATTTTACCAAATCAAGAATAACTCGAAAAATATGTTACTAATAATCCCTCATCTTTTCTCTCTAAGCCTCATCTCTCATCCTGGGGACTCCTATGTTCATCTTGATCAAGTAGAATAATCTCATATGGTTAACAGCTACCTTAAAAGAACTCTGCTATGATCCACAAATACTGAAACCTGGTGGTGCTCAGGTTACAAAGTGTGACGAGCACAGGAATCAGTCCATCTTTTGGTTGACACACCCACCCATCACTCAGTCATCGGCACTATCATCTGTCCACTTGCGAATAAAGGCTACACAAAAGAAAATAATTATGTCATTCATTGTCCAGTCATATTCTTCATTCTTTTCTTACCTCTGCTCATCGGCGGATTCAAGCAGTCGGTATCCTATGGGTCAAATGTTCTACCTCTTTATCTTTCGAATTCGAAGCTGTGGCTTTCTTTACACCTCACGGTGATCCCAGCCACTGGCAAGTCGATTAGACTGCGTATAAGCTGGCCATCAACTTGCACTAAAATTTTCAATAGCTTTTTGTCTGATCCTCGCATGGGAGATGCAAGGCATGCATCGTTTTCTCCCTGAGAGAATGCTCATTGGGTGGCAAGGAGAGATGATGAAGTAAAAAAGAGATGCAAAGGAAAACACAAAGCAGATCATGATCGCTAGCAATACATAAGCTAAACAATTTATGTGGCGTCAAAAGTCATCATTACCTGCGTTCATGATGTACTGCCATAGTATGGAAGGAAGCTCCTCAGGTCTCATCTTCTCCCGGGAACAGAAAAATGCACTTGCCCTTGGTCCTTGACTGCATGTTTGTTTCTGCAAGAACAACTTGAATCGATATGGCTTTATGCAGATATGGTGAGGGCTTCACCGATGCGAGGCGGCGCCGCGCCATACGGAGAACTGATGCTCGACTTGTTAAGTAACCCAAGCAACACATCTGCGGACATCAGCTTTCAGAATTTATAAACAGGACAGACTAGTTTAAATAAACCACAAAAAAGGATACGCTGGAGTCGTTTCCTCTTTCTCCGCTCTTTTACTGGTTTGGTTCTGAGAAGGGACATGAAATTTCAAATAATAAAAGAAACAGACTTGACATGGTCGATTACTCTTTATATGTTTGATAACAAAATGCGCCCAAGAGGTTTTGGATTGAAAGTTTCTAACAAAAGCAGCAGGATGAATCGTCCACTACAAATGTACTATAGAATTCAGTCAAAACCATGCTGCCGTCTCACAGGAACACCAAAGAATACCCTACCACAGAGAAGACAGACGATGAAAATTTTACAAAGGTAACATACGAACAGACCTCACTTCAGCAAAGTCTCCATGGCTTCAAAGAGGAGTGGTGCCATCTCGGGACTCTGTGTCTTAACTGCACATTTCACGCCTGGGACACCAAGAACAGCCGTCAGCTCTATCAGGAATGGAATATCTCGTGGGATCTTGGCCGACAAATACAGAAGCTCTTTGTCTGCATTCCTTCGTTTTGCTACAAAGAATACGTTGGATGCAGTCAAATGTTCAATGGTAGCATCAACGCTATGGATAATGGAGTTTGACAAGTCCTTCCCGACTTCGTTCGACTCTGGCAGGGATTTCCAAGTCTGCATTTGGACGGGCGAGAAAATCATGACTAGCGCAACTTTACAAAAGCTAATAACATGACTCTTGAAACAGAACCACAGGACAAACCGAAATAGATTAAAAAGGTAATAATACAGAGGCTATCCACTTTTACTGTTCCTCCAAATGCAACATCAACCAGGAAGATGTCAGAAGTGTAAATTTATGAAGTCCTTGGAATCTCATTCAGGTGGACATATCTAAAAGAAGTAGATAGAGAATCTGCTTAACATGTTTAAAAACTCCCAAGATTTCAAAATAAGAGTTGAAACCTACAGAGGCAACTAGCATAAGGAGAACAAAAACAAATTGGGAGGAGTGTTGAAATTCTCCAGCTCACTATTCTACATTGGTTAACCAAGAAACAAGTTCCATTAAAGTACAACAAATCGCAAAAGTGACACCCATTCCCAGCAAACTACCACTCATCTGTTTGAGTTACTGTTGTTAGCAAACCATTCACAACTGTGGGCGCGCCACATGCCAATGGAACTGTTAGTTCCCAGGCTATTTTGGGCTCGCTGCATGGTTTTTTCTTGCCAATGAAAAGGCAATATCAGTAGTTGAATCATGAACCTGTCAATGCTTCTTTATTGTTTCTAGCAGTCTATAGGGATGTGATTCTCCACCTCTTTTGACACCACAAATTGTAATAACTTAAGCTTTAACCAACACATTTATAGGTCTTCCATCAACATGTTGAAACATTTTTTAAATTGCATCCTTGATTCTAACAAAACCACTAACCTTTTTGTCATCTGTTTCATAACACAACCAAAATCATCAATCGATGATGGATAATTAAGCTTTTCCAGGTGCAATTCCGGGTCTTGCTTGGAACTCTATCTATCCTCCACAATTGGACAATTTTGTTTAGCTATAATTGCATTGACTTCTATAGTAATCATATACTCATCTAGTTTCATAAAATCATATATCAACAGTTACAAGATCATATAATATGAAAAAACGTTTAACACCATACCTCCCTTATCATCTTTCCTCCATGTCCATGGCCCTCACACATCCCTTTAGATTCTTCATATTCCTCCCCGTAGGACTCTTTAAAAGACCTTAAATAATCTATCTAAATTTCCAAATGTTCTCATTTGATCTGATAATCTGGTCTTCACAGAGGAGCATAAGAACTTCTCATATTAATCAGTTTTCTCACAATATAAATTTAATAGCAATATTTTGTCGCCATTTTTTCAAACTCAACAACATCTACTGATTGATTTAGTCCCTTAAAGAACTAAGTGTATTCTTCCTCGATGTATAGATGTTGAATCTCCCTCCATCTTGTCACGAACGATCGTCGCGCGCCCACAACGACTCTGTTCAACGAACCGTTCGTCGTTTGTGTTTATATGTACAGCTGCGTGACAGCATATTTTGGCTTGGTTTTATGTCCTTTTGCTTGTAAAAATGTAAGTTCAAACAAGTTGCAGCGCTACAATGCGACCGCTCACTGAACTGAGCAAAACAGCTCTGTTTTCGCGTGCCACGGGCTATTTTTTGCAGCCCGCTACTGCACACGAAGCGTCAGCCATCTCAGCATCCTGGAACCACCCGGGTGGCACCATGGGGGATGGGGCTTCGGTATAGTGTCGGGCACTGAACAATCTTTCGCAAGTTCGCACGTTACCTTGACGGGAACTTGTTGTCACGCTCGGCACCCGATGAGCAATTGTTTGTAGACTTGCAGCTGTTTGTTCAACCTTCTAAAGTCCTTGTTTTCCTCCTCTCCCTCTTTTCTCTTGTGCACACAAGGTGCTTGCTGAATTGCTTGTAAAGCTTCCCCTTTTCACAAGACGTCGGGACCTATGAGAGGTTGCAAGTGGGCTGATCTTTGCGGACGCATATCGCAAGGGCGAGGCGTGACTTAGGCAACGCAAGCTAAGTTCGCGTCTTTGCCGCAAGGGTGCCTCACGACTTAGGCAATTCCAGCTGAGTCTGTGATATTGTAGTATCAGAGCGGGCAAGCAATTCGAGCAAGCAGCGAAGGAACTTCGCATTTTCGCCATGGCAAAGCATCATGGCGAATCAAGCAAGACGGGGTAAGCCGGACCCTTACCCCAAGCAGCCGCAGGTGGGCTACAAGTGCATACTCGCTCTCATATTGTTGGAGCCGCTCAAGAGGAGCGCGACAGCGAACATGATGAGCGAGAAGTTGGCTACTCTCCGCGAGCGGAGGAGGCGCAATCTGGAGCGCCAATCGGGAAGAAGAGTCATAAGGAGAGACTCACAACGGCGGAAACCCGCTTAGATGTTCTTGAAGCGAGCTTGGAGGAACTCTACTATGGCCAACAAAGGTTTGTTGGGGTAGAGAGCTCGCAAGAAGAAGCGGAGTCCCGGATCAACAAGGTTGAGGCCCTAGTCGACCGATTGTCAGATGACACCAAATACTCCATGCAACACCTGCAGGAAGTCATGGCGGAACTCACTTCTAGGGTGACCATGCTCACGAGGGCACTGAATGTGGGAGGAAGCAACACCCGCGTTGCACTGGCACAAAACTTGAGAGCACCTGAGCTGCATTGTTATGGAGGTGCCCGAGATGCCAAAGAGCTCGAGAATTTCCTGTTCGACATGGAACAATACTTTTGAGCTACGAGGCCTGATTATGAAGAAACCAAAGTTTCTACAGACAGAGTGAACTATCAGCATAAGCCACAAGTGCTGTATAGTATATAAATTCTATGATGTGGATTTGCTCGTACTCATTCTGTAGTAGAGATGCTTGGTATACTGAAACAAACAAATCTGGGCAACAAAATCCACCTTAGAAAATATATATAAAGCAGTAGTATCATCCTCTAATGATGTTTGCATTGACAGATTCTCCATATAACATCTTATTTTATCTACGTTGAACCAGAGGATAAACAAAACCAACCACATAAGAAAGATCAAGGGTTATTAGAAAGGGGAAGCTAACATTAAATGTCGATCAATCAATTATGAACTAAGAAAAAAAGGGGAAAAATCAAACAAAGTGACCTGCTTGCAGAATCAAGGCCCAGAATGATGCAGAACTACAATTAATGAACCAGGTCGAGATCATGTTTTCACTTAGCATCTTTCCTTGATAATTAAAGGAAACTTGAATAATTTCAACAAGAATAACTTACTTCCAGAAAATTTGCACGCTCCATTCTACCATCCTCACCAAAGAAAACATGCAACGATATCTTGTCATTGAAGTACCAGACTGGCTGCTGATTATTTTTAATTGCGACCTGCAAGAGCATGCTTGGAGGTCCAGGTGAAACATTCTGGAATAAAACCATAGGAAGAAGTGTCCTTGCTGAAGCTTCAGGTTGCAAAGGCGGGACCTAATCATCGACAAAATAAAATGCAAGAAGATATTTTGAGCAATAAGCTCCTTTAGAGCATAGGAAATGGATGTCAAGAGGCTGAAATAGTATCAGCGTGGCTAGTTAGCCCATTAATATCGCTACTTCTATAGCTTTACAAAACAATCACCTGCAAAGGTCCTGCAGCTGCAAGACCAAATGTATTTTTGTTGAACTGTATCATGAATCCATCTAACACAAGTTGCGTATTGTTCTCAAACAGCAAAGAGTAAAATATCTGGCCATCATGACATATAAGCTGTGCACTAATCTGTAGACCTTGCCCAGTAGATGAAGGTAGTAATACAGGTAAGGGGGCTCTGCAGAGACAATCAGAACATTTCCAAGAATAAGCACATCAAGGTATCCAAGATACTAAATATTATGTATATACCAAAAGAATGGGCTGAACTTAGAATTCTAAATCTGTACATCCTTACTCTGAAGGCGTCATTGGCTGGTCTACAGGAACTATAGCATTGTCAAGACCAATCAAATCTCCAAGCAAATCTGGCACAGGTGGAGCAGGTGCAGAGATTGCTGTTGTTGCCGGTGGCTGCTGCCTTGATTGAGCAGGTGAAACAGCAGCTGCACCAGAAGGAGCAGCTGCACCATCAACTGCATGAGAGGGTGACTCAGAATACCCTGTTTCACCTCCATCAGCATAATCATCATCATCTGGTCTAGGTGTAGCTGACTTTGCACGGCTTACAAAAGCATCAGGTATCTTATGATAAACAGAAGAAAGGGTAGCAATGTTTGCAAGAAGTTCATCAAGAAGTGAAGGATCAAGTTGGTTTGAATCATCACTTATTACTGGTTTTTCAGCTAGAACAACATCCTTAGCAGCCTGAAAGAAAGAAATTGATCATGATTACCAAACCATATGGCATCTTATGAACTGAATATCTTAAATTTGTTTCTAATACCTCAGGATCAGTAGAAAGAAGACGCCAATAGATGTATGCACGATCTCGCAAATCAGGATTGTCTGTTTCCATCGTAGCATTATTAAGAACAGCCTATCACATACAGTGGATCTAAATTAGAGTCATAAATGAGACTAACAATAACATCTGAAAGTTACATAATGAAGTTCACAAAGTCCCCCACTCTCACGTGTCATGCCAAAAAAAACAAATTTAACACAACAAGATACCAAGGGGCATCTTTTTAATAAAAAAGCACTCAGAATAAAATAAGATAAATATATGGCAGATAGTTAAAGATTTCAGTTTTAGCCAATTCAAAAATTTATAAAAAAAAAAGGATTGTGTTTTTTTTATAAGAGAACTTGGTAGAAGAAAGGAAGCTCCTGGATAAATGAAATAAAATATTACATTAGCATAAACCACCATAGCAAGAGTATCGACAAAGTTACTTATCCTTGTCATCTTACAACATGCAAGATGAACATAATAGTTAAATTGCTTGATTGCATAAATTTAAACTAAGGTCATTAGGATAGGTTCCCATATAAGCATGCAAAATCTATTACTTCTGTAGTATACTCTTTTACAAGACAAATATCAGGAATTGAGAATCATAAAAACTAATGCCAAATGTACAATTTGTTTAAATATTGTCTAAATCCTTCAATGATCACTTTCAACTCTAGTCCCAGCCACTAATGAATGGTCATGTAGACAATGAGTAGATCTTTTCTTAAGAATGCTCTATTTATAAAACGTGGTCTCCCCTTATGCTGGACATTTACTGAGAAACTGCAATGGCATAAAAACTTAAACAAGTTTTTTTTTTTTCCTTCAAAAAGAATGAGGCAACAATCAACATTCCTCCCTCTCACCAGCCAATAGAAAAGGAAGGAAACATTGCATTGTAGAAACAAGAGTAAGTGTGCCAAACTTGAGGGTAACACTTACTGGTATGATGACATTAGCACATTGCTCCTTTGCATCTCAGGCAACCAGGGGTTCAAGACATGAAATTAGCTAATCCATATGTAAGAGTAAGACTACACCCTTCCCAGATCCTATATTGGTGGGGGCTTTTGCATTGGGCTTGCCCCCAACTCTGCCAAACTAACTGAATGTATCAAATCAATGAAGCCCAAGCATTCTCACAAATAAAAAGGAAAGAAAGACTTCACTGAATGTCTCCTTCCAAATTAGTAACAAACGAAGTTGCAATTGTCAATTTACCTATATGCAGTTGTATGTTACAATCAGTAGCATCTAAGAAGAGTATGAAATTCTACGGAAGTATCATATGATGAATAATAGTCAAATGAATGATCCATGTATTTTGATGTTAGAATTGACTGAAATCTATATCGATAATATTGGTAACTGGTAAAACTGAAATAAAACAAACCTGAATCATCTGCTGTGGGCCTTCAGTTGGCTTCTTGAGGAACAATTTAACAGTTGCAGTGAGCAGCTGCAGCTGTACCAGTGCAGGTTCTTCTGGGAAAGTCTCAAGAAAGCTCTCAAGGAGCTCATCAGCATTGTCAATTCTTTCAGCATATTCACCAATTATCCATATCATTGATGCCTGCAGCAGCAGGGCATTTTTGAGATAGCAAGGAAGAACAAACTGGAAACTAACCTCCCAAGTTAAACAAATACCTTAGCTTCTGGTTCATCTAAAGTGTCCAAGCTTTCACACAGTGTTGCAATAATAGACTCATAGCTGCAATATAATATAGAATTATATAGATTGCATCAAGCAGATGGTGCAGACTGGTACTGCAAATTAAGAAGGCAGTGCACAAGGCAAACAACTTGCATCAAGCTAATCAAACTTACGTGTTAGGATAACGTCTGAAGATATCCTTTATGACAATGATAGCTTCTTGCACAACATAATTTACTTTAATCTTTATCAGCTCAAGCAATACACTGATGCACCGCTCAGCGGCTCTCTCTAACTTAATAGCACAACGGCCAATTGCACGCACAGCCTTTCTAACAAAGTCTACGTCTACTTCAGTAGCATATTCTTTAAACTCCAACAGAACCTGAAGTGAAGTACATAAGTTTGCAAAGAGGTTCATCACACTCAATTTTCATTCCTTGGAGTCCAAACAAAATATTAAAAAAGATAAAGCTAAAAGAATATAGAAAAAATCCATACTAAATTATCTTAAATGAAAAAATAAAAGACAAAATCAGAACAATAACAAAAAACTTGTACAACAACATCCTAAATATCCAAGTTTATATGCCTTTACCTTGAAAGGGTGACAAAATAACAACTAAATTATATAAAATAAAGAACTTCATCACCATATGATGAACTCGGTACCTGGTCTATGTTCCGATCTGAGGCAAGCTTTATCATGATTTCTAATTTCTCCATCTTAACATATATTGGATCATTATATTTGCAAAAGAAAACCTATAAAAGAGGTGTAAGAAAATAATCCGTAACTTCAAGAGAAAATGAAGGTGTAAATGTAATAACTGAAACTTCAGTAAGTAATGCCCATCTGAACTAACCTTAATCTCATGTGCAAGTATCGTAGGCCGTTTCTGTACAATAAGATTGATGTTGCGCAAGGCTACATACTGGATTTCAGGTTCTGCAGAAAGAAGAGTTACCAGAGGTGGCGCCATTTTCTTGCAAAGATTTCGGATTACATCAGTACTAGTGATGAGTTCCATCTGTTGAAGGATCATCTGCACAGAATTTTAAGCCTATGATTGAAACCAGCCAACAAATATACCTCCATCACACTCTAAATCCATTCATAGTCTTTATATATTGGAGAAAAATTCACCATCATATCCTTTTTCATATTTCAAAGTTCATCATCAAGATAGCTTCAATACAGATGTAATTAGGTACTTGAAGAATTAATTGATTTTCTGGATTCTCTCATTGTGTATTATAGGTGAAAGCTAGAACTTTGATATGAAAGAGAGTTTTTTATCTTAAAAAAATCAATCACTACTTTCAGATTTCAATTTCTATCAGAACTAAACAACAGGATCAGCAAAAAAATTTTGCTTGAAGACACATATTAACTCGCAGAGAATGTGGATAAACATTTTAATGTGAACTTAAATTGGAATCCAGCATTCAGTCTGTCTTAACATCCAAGAAATTGACAAACATTGAGTCCATCAAATATTCATCCAAATACAACTGCTCTCAGTCTTCCTATCATTTACCAGTGAAGCCAACTAACAAGTAGAGAAATATGATTTTTCTTGTGATTGTGTGATAGCTTTGATTATTTCCAGCTCCCCTCAACCTAATGTAATCATAAAAATATGCATAGTTTTCTTATCCCTTTCTTCTAAATTAGAGCAGATGTAGTTAATTTGCATATCCATGTCCATATCTGGTAACATATAGATTTTCCCATAGGCAACTTATCACAGGGATAATATAACTACAATCTATTTCCCTGATCCCTTGCTGGACATGCCATAACAACAATATCCAAAATCCTCATAACAGTAATTTGTTATCCCATCTGACCTAATTGGTATTAACAATGAACTTTCAGGTGGAAGTGGGTATAATTTCAAATTGTAAGGCTATAAGGATCATTATTGTTATTCAAGACCCATAAAACCATAGAATGATTTAATTTAGGGAACTATCTCTTTGTTACACAAATGTTTTCATTGTAAAAGTCAGTATAATAAATTTCATGCTATATAAGCATACCACTCCTATTTTACAAAAGAAATATGGTTAATAGACTAGAATGATAATATTTCTAAAGGCTTGTCTGTTGGAATGATAATGATAATGATAATTTCATTAGGATAGACATATACCTACCTTTACAGCAGAAAGCACAACTGCACAATTCGCATGTTGGAGGCGTGGTGTTACTCGCTCTACTATGTTTTCGGCTTCACGGGCATCAGATGCTTTATACCTTGATAAAGCATCCAAAATGAAAACTTGACCCCATCTGCACCACAATTAGATTCAGATATTAGAACTGAAAATGTGTTGCTAAAAAGAATAATTAGGCCTCCATATAACATGTTAATCCCATGGATACATGAAAGACCATTTATGTAGTTAGTGCTTACAATTACTGAACTATTATAGATAATAAACAAAAAAGAACGATTTATGTAGTTAGTGCTTACAATTTATGAACAGTTGGTGCTTACAATTGCTGAATTATTATACATGGAATACCATTTAGGAATAGTTAGTGCTTACAATTACTAAATTAGCTAAAAAAAAAGGCACAGTGCTAGGAGAAACCACCATTTTCAATAGAACTTATCTAAGCGAAGATTGTCTCAATATGTAAAATCCATACAACCAAAGAGCTAAACTTTAATATGATGGAGATCATACATAGAAGGGATGTACATACTATTTGACAGAGAAAGTAATGTCGTGATTTAACAAGAGGAGCTATCACGTGCTCAAATTTGAACCTAAATGTTTGTGTTTGAAATGCTGCCCCACTTTGTCGGATATTTCACCAGACTTGACAACTGTCATGTGAATATTTTTAGTGCTAGCACAAAATATTTTACATAATGTTAAATTCCATATATATATATAT